TACCTCTTCAAACTGAAGCGTTTAGTCTCTTTACAGTGAAATTTTAAAATATCTTTAGGATTCTTCTTTTTCTTTCCTTTCCTTTACGTAATTCTTGAAGTGGTAAACAAAATTGTACACAGAAATTTCTGTGCAAATGCACTACATTTTTATTACCTTTACCTTCCTGTTTATACCCAAGTGCCTGCAGACTATAAGTAGGTCACACTGGAACAGTATTTTCTAGAAAAATATATAATTACTCCCTGAAACAATTCCTGGATTATAAAAGATAGCTTAAAGACCATTATTTTAAGGGTAGTTTGGTTATTATCTAAATGAACTCCTTGTACTGTCCACAGAATGTCACTCTTCAGTTATCAAATTCTTTGTACCTACTATACCTTGATCACTCTGAAGAACCTGTGTTATTGCTCATTATCTGCGTTTCCCAGGCACCTGCTTTCGGATCACCGAGGAACTGTGACAAACCGGTCTCACTAGACTCCTGGAACAGCTGGCTATCATCCCTACTCCCCGATCTCTAAGCCAGCTTTCTAAACATGAAAAGGCATTTTCCAGTTTTCACTTTTTAATTTCAAACAAGCCTTCTGTATGGCTTCTGAAAGCCTACATAAATTGTAGTAAATGGTTTCTCTCCATCACCATGTTTACTATTTCAATGAATGCTAGTAAACCAGCCCACTATGAATTTCCAAAAAGGTGAAAATGGCTAGCACTCTCCTTTTAAAAGATTTCTTTAACCACTGTAAGATGGAAATAAGATTCTTCAGACTACAATTCTAAGTGCCACTGAATTCTTCCTAAGGTTGAGACTGTCATGCAGTCAAATTTTCAGCACATTATTCTAAAACAAACCACTTAAAAGAAGTTTCTAGCCTTTTCCTGAAGAGGAGCTACTTTTAATTTATCCAGTGCCCCTGACAGGTTGAGAATGGTAAGAAGTCAAAGTAGCTACTGGCTAATTCTCTTTTACTATTTGTGAGGAAAGGAAGGAACAGTGGTAGCTGTTACGGGGTAGAGGGATACATGCTAGGCACACAATCAGAAGACCTGGGTTTGATCCCAGCAGTGTGATCTACTAGCT